ATATTGTTTGGTATTTGTTTGGACCAATCACCAACCAATCCTAAATGCTGTGATCCTCAAGTATTGGTGGGAACTCAGGATATACTACTCCACTAGGCTGAGGAAATAGACATCAAATCTTAGGCCAAGAGCTCTCCTTTGATGGTCTCTTGTGCTGGGAGGCAGCGTACTACAGGACATGATCCCCCAACACTTGGCACCATATTGACTTTGGTATTGTTAATCTCCCTTGTTCTGCCAGTGTGGTTTATGTAATTGGATGAGTATCAAAATCCACCTCTAGCTAGCTGTGTCCTGTGGTCAGAGAAGTCACCACACTGCCGTCAGCTGCTGATTCCCTTTCATTTCTGCTGACCCTGATCTCACTTCTTAGACAGCCTAACTACTGGAGAAGCAAGATAGATATGAGTCATGATATAGGTTGGGTGATTCCATAAAGGTTTTTGAAGATAAGTATTTAGTCTCACTGACCCTTACACCATCTTGAGGAATTGTTTTATGTGGTATAAAAAGAGCCCTTGAACTTGGGGTTAGAAGTCCTGGGTACTTATACAGGCTGTCTTCAAAGAGTTCTTATGAGAATCACATGAGATAATATATGTGAAAACAATTTTTACCTGTAAAGGGCTATGTCAATGTACATTACTATAATTATTGAGGGAAAGGTCCTTGACACAATGAACTAAAATAAATCCTCTCAGCTCTTCCCATAGTCTCCCACAGCATTCATGAAATAACTGTTTTGGAGCCTCTACTGTGTACAAGACAGCAAGAAACAGCAGCTCAGGGGGCAGCTAGGTGGCGCAGTGGATAAAGCTCTGGCCCTGGAGTCAGGAGGACCTGAGTTCAAATATGGCTTTAGACACTAGCTGTGTGACCCTGGGCAAGTCACTTAACCTTAATTGCCTCACCAAAAAGCAAAAAAAGAAGAAAGAAACAGCAGCTCAATTTGCAAAGCACTTCCCATACATTATATCATTTGAGTCGCACAACAACCTCTTGAGGTAGAAACTACAGGCATTATTGCCACCATTTTTTTAAAATTTATTTTTATTTATTTATTTATTGGTGAGGCAGTTGGGGTTAAGTGATTTGCCCAGAGTCACACAACTAGTGAGTGTTATGTGTCTGAGGCCAAATTTGAACTCAGGTCCTCCCGACTCCAGGGCCAGGGCTCTATCCACTGTGCCATTGCCACCATTTTAAAACTGCCATCAGTTGCTGATTCCCTTTCATTTCTGCTGACTCTGATCTCGCTTCTTAGACAGCCTTAGACAGAAACTGAGGCTGAGAGAAATTAAGTAACTTGCCCATGATTACACAGCCTTTCAGTGTCAGAGGTGTGATTTTAACTCAGGTCTTCCTGACTCCGAGACTCTCTTCACTATGTTACACTGCTTTTCATTCTCTTCCCAAGAATATCCCAGAGAAACATGGGATCAAGGGGCTCCAGCCCTAGCCATTAAGCTATTCACTCAGCTATTAAGGCTACAGAACTAGAGTAAGATTCCTTCACAACTAGTGGATGGTCCTTCCCCAGAGACCCAGGGAAATCTCAACCAACGAGCACATCCATCCTCGCTGTAGCTTCTCCCTAGTTCTTTGCTGAGAGCATCCAGCTCTCACCAGTCCCCACCCCTTGATTTTTTGCTTGCCTGCTGCTGTAAATAATTTATCTGCATTGTGAGCAGGTGTTCAACAGAAAATGGGTGTGTAACACACACACTCCACTGCCTACATAAACACGTTTCTCTCACTCTTACTGTCAAACAGACACTTTAAGACAGACTCATCTCTCACTTTTACTTGGCTCAAATCCTCTTGTCCAAGCTGTCCATCGCTTTCTCCTCTCTCTCATGCTCCTCTTCCTTGGCCTCCTCCCTCACCTTTTTGTTCTTCCTAAAAGGATACTTAATGTCTAACATTCATATTCTCTTCCCCTTACCCCAATGTCTGATTCCTAGTAATCTCCTCCTACGCAAGGAAACGAGGGACTCCAGATCTATCTCCCAGCCAGAGAAATAGTCATGAAATCTCTGAGGACCTCACCATCCACTGGACTTCACTAGCCCGAGGCTGTTACTAAGCAGATGGGAATCTTTTTTGACCAATCACTAATTACTACCACTTGTCCTGCAACTAAGCTTGTGGTTTTTTTTTTTAATTTCCCAAAGCACCCCAGGCACAAATCACTGTGATTTAAAAACAACAACATTTAATCAAGGTACTTTTTATGAACATTTCTAATTTGTTCATACCAAAAGTTGCAAGTAAGTTAGTCTCATTAGTGGAATCCAATTCTGTTGCATCCTCAGTTTCCCCTCAAAATCAAAACTATATTAGTTCTAAAAGTAGCTTGTTTAATTAACCCAGAGATCATAATTTTGATGGTTTTCTTTTTTTCCTTTCGTGATCCTATAACAGTACTGCTGCACATACAAATCTAGTGTGGCCAAGGAAATCGAGCCATTTCGGGTAAGAAAATACAGAATCTCACAGAGAGTTTATTCAAAAGATAAGGTGATTTTGTGCTGGTGAATACTCGAGCAAATCTTTATCAGAATCCTTTTGAAGATGAACTACAAAGATCATTACAGGGGTATCATTTACAATTGAGATTTTTTTAATAGTGATTATTTTTGTAATTGTAAAGAACAATAGGATATAGAAAGAAAGGGGGCATTGAGAGGTTAGGATATTTAATATTCTGATACAATATTAGTAAGTCAGATAACTTTTGAGAGCATCCATTTCTGGTTTCCTGGCTTTGTTTAATAAATTTTAATATTCCTTCCCACAAAGCCCATAGGAACCTACTTGTATGCACTGCCTTTATTTTACCCCAGTGAGCCAGTCTTTGACAAGTGAATTTGATGTTTCTCCGATGTTGTCTATACTTTGTCTTCCCACTGCATTGAAGTTCTCTGAAGAAAAGCATGACACTGGTAAATCTAAGATTGCATAAAAGACAAATCTAGCATTTCCTAACTGGAAGAAGGAAGTATATAGCCCCTCAAAGTCAAGACTCCCGAGTTTCATTTCTAGTTCTGCATCTTATTTGTAATCTGATTGGTGACTGCCCCTCTCAGTGTCTCAGTTTTTCCCATTGTAAGATAGGTAATTGTTTTGTTAAAGATCCGTTTGAGCAATGTAGCCAATGACATGAATTCAGTAAGTGAATCAGTGATTCACTGAGACAACACTCATTCATGCGAATATCCTTGCCAGGTGAGAGTTGTTGACAATTCATTCCACTGGCTAGGGCATCTCGTTTGAACTACATAGATATTTTTAAAGAATTTCAAAGTTGTGATTAAGGACATTTAGATGCTCAGAAGAGAGATATTTTGAGGGGTTTGTTTTTGGTTTTTTTAGGTATTCAATTTCCGAGATGTGAATCCCCTAAATGTATCCCTGAATTTGTTCCTAAATCTTTCTTAAACATATCCAGTCTACAAAAAGTCAATGCTATTTATGCTCAGTAAATCTCTGTTAGCCAATTCTAAAAAGAAACAACTTGAAATTATCTATTTTAAAAACAGAATGCTTGAAAAAAATCTTTCTTCTTCTACTTGCCAAGATCCCAAATTCAGGAATCTGGGTTTCCTTGGTAACAACTGATAGCAGAGCAAACACTAAGGCAGAAATTTGCATCACTCTTGCGCAGGTGATGTCATCATCTGTTACGGGGGACAGCACAGAAACTTCTGGTTTCTGGTCTCTAGTCCAACCATGTATGTGAAGAATTAACAGTTTCCAAGTGTTGGTTGAAACAGTTAAGGCAATGCAAAAAAGATCTGGCTGCCATTTGGTTATATTCAACAGCTTATGATGTATCAAAGTTTGCAAAAAGCAAAGAAACTTAGAGACCAAGATTAAAATGAATTCCCACCTCCTTTTCCCTCATTTCTCTGTTATCAAGCTGAATAGCCTCTCCTGGCTGGTATGGCAGACCAGAATGCCTAGAAAGTGACAGGATCAGTGGAGATACAATGTAATGTCTTTATTTTCCTTCCAAGTTAACATCATTAGTACCATGGGAAAATGGTAGTTGTCAGGTTACTTCTTACCTAAAACAACTAAATGAAACTAGTCCAAAAAATGAAGCAACAGATATGGGAATGATAATTTGACTAAGATGTGAAGTAACGAATAAAATGTATTCCTATCTCTGTATGCATGTATATGCATGCAAGAGGGATTGCAGGAAGGAATTAGAGATACAGCCACTGACTACAAGAAGTATTGGCTTGTACATGAGTGATCTTAAACTATGCCAGGGGTAGAACTGTACTTTGGATGAGAAGTAGGAGTGACAGGTTACTGACTATTCCAAGAGTCCTCCTAAAGAAGGAGGAACCCATTTACTTTGGACACTCGAATAAAGATATGTTAAAAGATATCCACACCCTCACCCTAGTAGTTATGAGGCTTTCTCTTGGTCAAATGGGCTCTGTGCCTAGAATTATGGAACTCTGAGGCAGAAACCAGGCCATTTCTGCCATAGAATTTCTCAGCTGGCAGAAATTGGACTTAAGTCCTGAAGTCTCTGCCACTTTTAACAGAACAGAGCTCTGGAACTCTGAACTAAGTTGGATTTAGGAGCAGGAACTTATGTCATCTGAGAACCAACTTCAGTAACAGATGGCATGTGCCCCTTTCACTGATTGATGATCTCTTTTGGATACCACATTGAAACCCATTTGGCTGAGTGTAGCATTCTAATAGGATGTAAGGTCATTGAGAGCTTGGACTGTCTCACTTTTATATTTGTAATCCCAGTGCCAGAGATAAAGTAGGCATCTATAGTAGGTGCTTAATAAATGCTTGTTGTTTTGTTGTTTCCGTGTGCCTAGATGACTGGATGCCTCTGCTTTTTGCTCATAGAATCATGGAGTGTTGATGTCTAAACGGCAGAGTGGAGCAGGTTCAGAAGGTGAGCCTGGCTGTGTCAGCTTTCAAGGATGGGCTACGGGATAGGCCTTCTCTCCGGCGTACAGGTGAATCAGCTGGTTCTCGAGGGGCACTGTGGAGCACTCTGTCCAGGAAGTACAAGAGGAGGATGAGCCGGAGATAGTGGCCGCTGTCCCACAGGAAGAGAACACTGTCAACAAAGCAGCCTGGGAACGGCTAAGGGATGGCCGTGGGGTAGAACCTGAGGAGTTTGACCGTGCCAGTCGTTTCACACCACCTGCCTTTATCCGACCTATTCGGGAACTAAATGATGACAAGCCACTTGATATCTGCTTGGAACCAAGAGAATCTGTAAGTTCTAGAGTGAGGCAGTAGAACTAGAGGGGAAGGGGAAGAATGGGCAATATCTGAGTTTACAGAGCAAATGGTAGGCTGCCTGGAGATCAGAAAGCAGGACTGTGAGCCCTGGGATGTGAATAAAAAAGCATTAAGAAAAAAAGATAAGATTTAACCAACTGATAGTCCTTAATCCAAAACAAACTGATTTAGCTTTTTCTGTCTGAGTCCAGATATAACTAACTGAGCTTGTTCTCGTTGTAGGAAAGTAGCTTGGCAGGGGATGTAGAGAGAAGGGTGAAATAGGGGAGCCACTGCATATCCATCGGTCCCTTCTACCATATGATAGCATGTCAGCTGGAATAGCATACCCCTCTTCTGGTTCAGAATGCCAGAGTTTGTTGGCTCTGTTGCATTGACACTGACTGCTATTGGCTGTATACCCAAAGTGTGCATTTCTTAATGGTCTGACCAAGAAATTTAGGTGTAAAAGTCAAGGCTTTGCTTAGATAGAAGTGGGGATCCTGTTTCGTGTTTTTGAACATCTCTTTTCTCCACTCCTACTTTCTCCTCAGGTTATCAGTGATGAGATGTGTGAGATTTGTGAGGTATGGACTGCTGAAAGTCTCTTCCCGTGTAGGATCTGCACAAGGGTTTTTCATGATGGCTGCTTGCGCCGCATGGGCTATCTACAAGGAGACAGCACAGTGGAAGTGACCGAGATGGCTCACACTGAAACAGGCTGGAGCTGTTACTATTGTGTGAGTTTGGTGGGGTTGTGGTGGTAAGAAAAGTCAATTAAAGCCAGTTCTTTTACAAGAGGCTATATCATATTGGATCCTTATAAGTGGCCCTACACACTTAGAGTAGATTCAAAGGATGTCTGAGAAGAAGAAGCGGGGATGTCTATTTCCATGATCCTTATCATCTAGTTTCTGGAGCACAAATAAACCCAGAAGAAAGTTTGGTAGCACCAGTGATTTCCATAATGGTTTCTAGTCATCATAAAGCCATATCCAAACACTAAATTGTATTCAGCTGGAAAGTCCAACAGAATCTCAACAATGTTACTTTCTATATGGAATGGCTTTCTTTCATAGGTGACCTTGTGACAAAAGGCCATTGTCTGAGTCCTAGTCAGCAATATCCCCAATAAGTAGTCATCCAGACCTTAATGAGATTCAACCCTACATCTCCCAAGGCAGCCATTTCCATTTTCAGATAGCTCTAATTGTTAGGAAGCTTTTCTTTCAAGCCTACACTGCCTCTCTGTACCTCGTTATTGCTCTACTCTCTGGGGCCAAGGAGAAAAAATCTAATTTCCCTTACATGTGATAGCCCTTCATATACTTAAAAGACAGTCATCCTGTTTGGCTGTCACCCCACTCCCAAATCATCTCTTCTCCAGACTAAACATAATCACTTTCTTCATTCCATCTTCATGTAACATATGAATATATATTATATCATAGTCCTTCATCACCCTGTTGTGGATACACTACCATTTATTCATGTCATTCCTAAAATACAGTGCCTAGAACTAAACACCATACTCCATATGTGGGCTTTGTAGGGCAGACTACAGCAGAACTCTTTCCTCCTTAGTCTGTTAGGTCTGGCTGCCCCTTAATGCAACAGAAGGCCACATTTGTGTTCTGGGCCATTGTGTGACATTTTTACTCAGGTTGTATTTGCAGGCCACTAAAACTCTCAGATCTCTTTCAAATGACCTGCTGTCTAGCCATGCCTTACCTACCTTAGACTTATGAAGTTGGTTGTTGTTACTGTCCTCCTCTTCTTCCTTTTTTTTTTTTTTTTGCCAGGCAATGGGGTTAAGTGATTTGCCCAGGGTCACACATCTAGTGAGTGTTATGTGTCTGAGGCCAGATTTGAACTCGGGTCCTTCTGGCTCCAGGGGTGGTGCTCTATCCGCTGTACCACCTAGCTGCCCCTTTGTTGTTTGTTTTTTTTTTAATGGAGTATTAAAATTCGCATTTACTCCTTTAAATTTCATCTTATTAAATTTTGCCCCATATTCCAGCCTTTCAAGATCTTTTTGAAATTTGACTCTGTCATCCAGAATATTATCTATAACTGTCCAGCTTTTGTCATCTGCAAATTTGGCAACCTTATCATTGTTGCCTTTATCTCAGTCATCCATAAAATTGTCAAATAGCACCAGCCCAATGACAGACCCCTGGGCACTCTATTGAAGACCTCCTTCTAAGTTCGCATCAGATTTCTATAATGTAACATTTTATTTTCCTCATCCTTCCTTTATATATGTTCTTCCTCCAGACTGGAATACTCTCGCCACCCTCCTCTCAACCTGTCTGAATACTACCCTTCCTTCAGAGTCCACCAGCAATCTTCTGTTGAATTCTTTCCTGGTTGTTTAAGTACACACTGAGCAGTTCCCTTCACTCTATTGCATTTATTATCTGCAGTACTCACTTGTCATTTTGCATAGTCCTGTATTGACTGTTTAACTCATAGCATGTATAAGTGTCAACTCCATAACAAAGACTATGTCTTATATACCTTTGTTTCTTCCCCAGTGTTCAGCACAGTATCCTGCACATAATAGGAGCTCCATAAATACTTGATAATTAATTCATCATAAGTAGCAATTAATAGGCCTACTCAGGCCCTTGATTGGGCATGGAACTACAGAGATTAGAGTTAATAGTTCATTAATTCAGCAGATTCCATTAAGAGCCTACTGTGTGCAAGGAACTCCTGATAGATTCCTCCCACTTTTTTAGATTTATAACAATGATAATAATAATAGCTACCATTTATATAATGCTTTAAGGCTTGCAAAGAACTTCACGTGTCTTATCTCATTTGAAACTGACACTTGGCAAAAACCCATGGGAGACGTGCAGTTAAAAGAGGAATTATTGGGATTTGGACGCCTAAGAATACTATTTCTCCAAAGCCAATAATAATAAATAACTCCTGCTACTTCTGTAGCCCTTGGACTTTGACACGTGTTAACTTGTTCTATCTTCACAGCAGCACTATGAAGTAGACACGGCAAATATTTTCATCCCCACTTTACAGATGCGGAGATAGACCCAGAGAAGTTAAGCAATGTACCTAAGAGCCCATGGCTAATAAGTGGCAGAGCTGGGAGAGTGCTCTTTCTACTGCACAATGCTGCCTCCTAAGGAGATTGCCTTGTAGCCCCCCACTTTCAGTGCCTTCCCAAACAATGGCTGTGTCTGCAGAGGCAGGTGATGTGCTAGTAAGTGCCAAATGCCAAAAATAAGTTACTCTGCTTCACATGTAGAGATGGCAGTGGTCGCTACCTCATTTGCAAGAGTACCTGAAAATTTTGATGTGTGAGCAAGAGGTTCTCCACGTAATTTATGACCGTAGAGATTTTTTGGTTCAGAGTTTGTAGTAATTGTCATCATTTGTGGGTGCCTGGTGATTCGGCCAACTCAGATCCTTGGCTTAAAAAGAACCCTGCATCTGTACATCTTCCTCACCTCATTGGTCTTGACTGATACACACTAGTCTTGCTGTTATTTTCTTGTTTTTCTGGTCACAGTTTTAGAAGCTATTCTAAAGGTCAAAAGATATTCCTTGTTTTCATTACAAATGACCATGTAAATGTTGGAGTGCTCTGTGATTACTAGTAGGCATTTCCCACCCTCCCTCCACCTTAATCCTTACTCCCTAACCAAACCACTTCAGTCAAGGGACTCAGATAACTCTGGAGCAAGAAGAATATATCTAAAGCAGTACCAAATACACACAGATCACTCTCTGGCCATGCTGTGGAAGACTTACAACCAAGCCGCATTACCCCAAAGCCATTCAGTACTAGGCTTATTAGACTGTGTGGGCTCAGATTTCTAATTACGTCAACATTGATTTCATTAACTGTGAGCTTAGCAGTGTTCCAGTTTGACTGCCACTGTGCTCTCCTGCGAAATTCAAGGAAATATTAGAGTGACAGTGATAAATGGGCAGGTTATATTCTGGAGTCAGTGATTTGTTACTGCTTTTATTGAGGACCAAGAAGCTTGGACAGTTTGTTCTGGGCATTCAGAGGCCAACTTAGCAGCAAAAACTGGGGAAAACAAAAGGGCCCCGGTTGGAGGGGCAGGTTGGGCTGCTCAGGAATTGGAAGTAGCATCCAGAGTGGTCCAGAAGAGTTAGGTAGGCTATTTGAGAGGCCCCATGGAAGAGGTCTCTTCTCATTTCTTTGATGCTGCTGATAGATCCCCTCTCTTTGTGTTATACCATTCCTTTAGACTTTGTCCCCTTTCACCACTTGGAACTTTAGGGAATTGCACACAAGAATATTTGTGTTAATGATAAACAGATACTTTCCCAGAAAGAACAAAATATTGGACATTCCCAGTGTCCCAAAGAGGGAGCCAAAATCCTGAATTACAGGAATTCAGCTCCAGAGCAGCTGATGTAGCTGGTTAACAGGCTGCTTGGGCTCCAGATTTCTGGCTCCTGTTTCATGGCAGGATCTTGGACAAGTCACATCCACTAAGTTTAGTGTCTTATTAGGAGGCAAGGGAGCTTTATGCTAGCGTCCCCTCTCCAAGGATTCAGTGGAGCAGAGTGCAATGATGTCTAGAAAGGACTACCAGAACTGCAAAAGGACCCTGTTTAAGAGAATGGACCTTATAAGTATGAGAGGCATGGGGGTGGTAGCCCCACGTACAGTATGACCACATATAGAGCAAAAACATAAGGAGCTCCACCTATAAATGGTATGAGAGGCAGCCCCAGTCCCATGGAGCACAAATGCCCCACAGAAGACAGGTCCTACTTCCGTTTGCCATAAAGGTATATCCCACGTAGGTCTAGTGATATTTATATCATGTATGTATATATGCATGTATGCATATATTATAGCTCTCTGCTTACAAGTTCTGCTGTTTATTGGAAACTTATGCTCACAAAGGGGTATGATGTTAGTATTCCTTTTCTGCTTGTGGCACTTCCATATGGGATCAATGTCTGCTCCTCCCAACACTCATTGTTGAAGCAAGCATGTCTTTCTTGCCTCTCAAACGAATAAGATGTTTTCCCCCAAATCTTTACCTGCACTTTCACTAATTACACCAAACAAGGATTTGGAGACCACTAACTTTGTCTGTTTACAATCAGACACTGGACGTACATTTCAATGTTGGGATGGAGGGAGAACCCCATCGGAAGACAAGCAGCAAAAGTAAACACTGACTGCTTTGGCTGCAGCCAGGTCTCAGGCCTCTGGTTCTTCCCCTGACTCTTTCTTCTTTGACTTGAGCAGGAAGCAGGGTAGTCCAGCCGGTGATATTCATTCTCTTGCTTCTGAGTGCCACGGCCCTGAAGCCGAGACATCTAGAAATCACACTTGCCAGCCATAGTTCCTTCTGCATGGCTCAAGATGGAGGAAAGATTGGACTTTTTTTCTGGTTGTCTCTTCCCAGAAGCCTCCAAAGCCAAGTTCAAGGATATGTCACCAAACTGGCGGTGAATTCTGAGATAGCTCCTGATTGTCCCGATCCAGGTAATACACAGGTTAGAGAAGGCCCTTCCGAAGGAACAAGCCGAGGGCCAAGCAGAGCAGTTGGGCAGTGAGCAGAACCTGCCTTTCTCCCAGGCCGCTTGACTGAACTTAGCATGAATGCTGAACTGGGGATCCTGCTGGGAATTGAAGAATGGCAGTGCATGCAATTTAGGAACAGGCCCAGCTCTTTCCATCCTAGCCCTGACTCTGCTACTAACCCACTTGAGGCAACTTGTAGCATCTCTTTTGGCCTCATTTCATCATTTATAAAATGAAGGGCTTGAATTAGACATTTGCTAGGGTTTCTTCCAGTTCTAAGGTTCAGTGATTATGATGTTGCTCCTAACTCCAGCCTAGGCCATCATGGTGAGAAGGAAATGGGAAACTGAGGCACGAGAGGAGACCAATCAGGTCAGCACCTTAATGTGGTGAAAGAAGAGATGCATGCCCAAATTCCTAGGCTGCCAGCAGGGGGCAGACTGGTGCTCTGCCAAACGCCATTTTGGATGTGCTCCCATCTGTCTCCCAGAGAACTTAGCACTCTCTCATCTCTTTGCTCAAAGATCCACACAAGGGTCCTTCCCTCCTTCCTCTTCCTTTCCTTCCTTCCTTCCTTCCTTCCTTCCTTCCTTCTTCCTTCCTTCTTCCTTCCTTCCTTCCTTCCTACTTCCTTCCTCCTTCCCCTTCCTTCCTTCCTTCTCCTTCCTTCCTTCCTTCCTCCTCCTTCCTTCCTTCCTTCCTTCCTTCCTTTTTCCTTCCTTCCTTCCTTCCTTCCTCCTCCTTCCTTCCTTCCTCCTTCCTCCTTCCTTCCTTCCTTCCTTCCTTCTTCCTTCCTTCCTTCCTTCCTTCTAATAAATATCCCTCCCTGATCCCCTACCCAGCAAATCTTCCCTTATAACAAATATTAAAGAAGAAAAGGGGAAAAAGAAAGTTCAGCAAGACCATCTAACATAAGGGAATTGGCATTATATCTGACACTTTATACAATATTCCACACTTGTCGTCCCTCACCTCTCCAATGAAAGGAGGGAGGTTTATTTTCTCAATTTTTCCTCTACCCACAGACCTAGCAGAAAATGTCAGCGTCTTCCATCTACTCTCTCTACCCTTTTTCTCCCTATAATCTTGACAGGTTAAAAATACCTTTCTCCCAGTCAAGATCGGCTCCCAGGGAAAGATGAGAAGGGAAAGGGTTGGAGACTGTGGATTTGGTGTTTAAGATGACTCAACAGCAGGAGTGTGTAGGAGAAGGAACTTCTAGAGAGAAAGTATATACAAGAGACAGCATGCATATCTGGTGAATGTATCTGAGAATGAGATGAAGATTTCTGGGTCATGGTTTAAGTTGTCAGTTCCCAAACTCTTTGGTCTCAGGACCTCTTTGCACCCTTAAAAATTATCAAAATCCTCACAGAGCTTTGAGGGTTATATCAATCAATTTTTACTATTAAAAATAAAAATTGATCATTTAAA